TTCCCCCCCCCCCTTCTTCCATTTTTCTCTCTCTCTCTCTCTCTCTCTCTCTCTCTCTCACTCACACACACACACACACACACACACACACACACGCACGCACGCACGCACGCACGCACGCACACACACATACACACACTCACACACGGCATGGCTTTGCTTCAATTGTTTTCAAAAGGTCATTCAAAAACCAAGTCTTCACTGTTCTATGTTGCGTGTTAAAATAACTGGCCAGGATTTTTATTATGTTCATAAAATAAAATTTATTTCAACACAATGTTCGTTGTTTGGGGATAGACCACGATGAATACAGCCAATCTATAAATTCTAAAGCACACTTGGCACCGTGTTCGCTGTAATCATGTTTGGAACCGCGTCCTAACCGCGTCCTAACTTCCGGTTAAAATGGACGCTAGACAGCGGCGCCGTTCGGAACAGAGGCAAATTTTTTGCTTCTGCCGGACGGTGGCCGATGCATTTTTGCTCCATTTGTAGACTGGATATAGTTTCGTCGCCCAGCTTCTGAGTTGAATGCATGGCGTCACCCTGTGAGCTGCGGATTGCATTTGGAATGTTTTTTTTTCGACTGTGACCAACGTGGTGGTGTGAATTGTAGATTCAGAAAATGGCGCGATGCCTGTCGTTCAATGCTTGCGGGACCTGTATTAAAATTGATCACGCGGACAACTGCTGATCTGTTGACGACAAGTTCTGATATCATCAATCATGAACTGCATTTCTAATATTGGACTGTTTGTGTTAGCACTTCGGATGGCTACCATATGCTTTAATGCGAGTGTATGCTAGATATGCTGAGACAGCAGTCTGTCAATCTTTCCACAAGGGACTGTGATAGACATTCTGAGTGTTTTTCGCTGGCACAGGAGCGGAGCAAAGATGGGGCAACCCGTTTGCTATGAAGCTGAAACTAAGACTACCAGACTACCAGTCCTAAGCCATACATTTACGATTTTGTCTTTGTTTTGCTCAACTCTTCCAGTCCCTCTATTGAACTTTCTAATTACAACTCCTGTGTGTGTGTGCGTGTGCTGTTTTTTGTTAACTGCATACCTTTGCGACCGCTTCCACTTTTGGAATGTGATTTTCTTAAATTTTGTTTTGCACATTCTTACAGGTTATCAGTCACCATTCTGTGTTCAGCCTTCTCTTGACCTTATGACCCATATCTGCCTGTCAGTTTCCTCCGTCTCCCAACCCTGTAACCGTTATTCTCGGTGGTTATGGAAAGCTGAGTATGAATACATGTTGAGACTGTCATTCACGTGGGCTTTCTTTGACGTCGTCACGGTTCATTATTCAAAGTCAAAGGCGCTTAGAAAGAAAAAACGCGAAGATCTAGCTCGAGTCTTGTTCACTGCATTCAATTTTTTAACCTTCAACGAACTAAGACACAAACAGCATTAGCATGGCTGGTCGAAATTATCTTTCTGAAAATGTAAAAACACCTACACTCGACCCGCACATGAATGCCAGATTTTTTCTCGAAAGATCCAGCAAAAACTAATTAATTATGGGCCACTTTTCACTTCTGAACTCTTCACGTAGCAAACAGCACACCATATGTTTCTTTGTTATTCCAAAGATAATAGGATGTCCCAAAAGTTTCCATACATAGAAAAAAACATTAACATATTACCAAAGCTGTAAAAAGCATGACTCCCAACTGTGCAGTTCTCCCGTCCCATCGCTGTGTTCATCAGCAGGGGACGATGAGTAGTGCTAGTAGTTTTTCAAAAACATCCTGTTCAACACTGACTGTTATAATTGGGATATATAGTGTTAATTGAGTTCTCAGAGGATAGATATTTTAAAATGTATGTATCATGTAATTATTTATATGACCAAAATGTAATTTTTATTTTCACATTTCGCTTAGATTTGAGATGTGATTGTGATAGACACAGCACTATGAATAATTAGACTTTGTGTCATTAACATGGTGGATATATTGTTTCATTTGTGTAGAATCACTGATTACTCTTCTGTATTTTATCTTTACGGGAGACTTCTTCAAAGGAGGAGGAGGTAGAGGTGGACACGCATCGAAATGGGGGGGGGGGGGGTTTAAACATCGGGATTTCTCTTATGTATGAAAACTTGTGGAATACCCTGTATAATTCTCCTGCTGTTTTCTACTACAGACATAAGTTATTTTAACCCTTTGCATCTGGGGAAATGCGTGGTCTCGAGGCATGGTGTCTGCCTTGAGTGCTAGCGGTTCTGGGTTCAGTCCCCGGTAAGGGCTGGGATGTTTTCACGTGGACTTGGACTTTTAGTAATTCCACCTGGTCTCTGGGTAGTGAGATCGGACGCCCGTGTGCATTGTCGTAGCAGTAGCAATAAAAAAGAGTAGCCTAACGGCGCTGCCCGGGCAAAATGTGGAGGTAAAAAATCTACTAAAAGTATTTCTGGATCCTCGCCGGTGCTACAGAGCCTGTGCACTGTGCTGAGCTTCTTCGGACTCAGACTTATGGGTTACTACCCGTGTGCCATGATGTTGGCCCGTTTTTCAAACCTCAAACTTTATTCTTCTTTAGTGCTACCAAAACGTTTTGACAATTGTCAAGTCATGAACATGCGAAACTAAGATTATATCTACAGCAATGGCACAGCTGTACATGTGAACTTCATATTATATCTATAACTGGGTACATGTGACATGTAGATCATATCTACAACTGTGTACATGTGAGATGTAGATCATATCTACAACAAAGGGATAACAGTGTTCGCGGACATGACCTGGTGGCTTTATACTATTAGCACCATGAGGTGCTGGGACTTGGGGGCTCGGGCTCCTTCAGCCCCCCTCCCCCAACCCCGCAAAAAGTGGGTAGGGGGGCTTCAGCCCTCCTAACCCTCCCTCCCCCCCCCCCTCCACAATAGTTTGTTAGTGGTGAAATGATAAGTCACCCCCCCCCCACCTTTTTTTCCCCCTCTTCCCCATCCCTACAAAAGAAAATTTGTAAAGAGACTAAGGATCTCCTCTTAACCATGTATAGATCAGTACAACTGTTTATACATTTCATCATATTTCAAATATATTATTGTACTTCTTCGTCATTCAGTACATAATAATAGTAATTATCAGGGGGTGGGGGGAGAGGCGCGGCTTGGCAGTGGAAGATTTGATTAATTGTGAACAATACCCGCCTAGAAGGAGACTGGAACATGGTACTGACTGACAGACTGACTTTCTACCCCACTAGGACATCACACAAGAGATTAAAACCCGATGACACAGTGTGCCACCATGTGGATGAGGATCACCGTCGAGAGGTCCCAGAAACCGCGTTCAGCCAATTGGCCATATTTATAGCCTGGTTATATTGCGACCCCTGGCAAGAGCCAGGATGGGGCTTCAAATAACGAAAAATTTCACCCTAAAAAGGACGGCAAAATAGTCTGAACATGGTACCAATTGGGTCAATAATCCAGCGCGCTAGCAAACTGAAGAAAATTAAGTCTTATTCAGATACAAAATTATTTTAATTAAATATCTAAATACTCTACTATTTCCTTCCCCTGTGGATTCTGAGGCCCCAGTGTGGGGAAAACAAGAACAGACACGTTGCCTACCCATAAGCATGTCGTAAGAGTCAACATTATGGGAGCTTTCTTCAAAGCCAAAGTACATATTTGCCTGACTGGCAAGAATCCAGCAGTCGGCATACAAATGAGTCAGATCTGTAGAACGAATGTGCATGCAGCACTCAGGTTCTGGGGCAGGACTTAAGTTCACAAGTGGACGAACAGCCAAATCTTTTTGCCAGAGTTTACCAGCCGGTGAGGACGAAGAAGAAGATGTATAGCTTCCATTACCGCTGTCAAAAGTTATTTTAAAAAAGTTGTCGCCCCTTTCTTCTTCATTGGAGCATCTGAACAATGGTACTACATTCATTTTTACATAGACCAATGGGCACTAGGTTGGTGGTGAGGTCAAACATATAGATGGTCGCCTTTACTTCCCAGGACATTACCTGGTATTCGTTTTAGGCTTGATTGTCAGTGAGCAAAGGTCCGTTCGTGAGATTAAAAAATATGACTTGATGCGGGTTTGAACCAAGGATTTTCCGATAGGCAAGCTGGTGAACATCTAGCCAAAAAGCTTCTGGGGCTCTCCCCTGTGACATAGGTCCATCAAAAAAACAATCGAATTCAACATAATACCAAGAGCGTTGGTAGTCATATCTATCCACAACTTTATGTCTCATGTACTTTCAGTCAATTTTGACACATATGATCTTCCATGCCATGATGTCAAACTGCCCAGCACCAGTCTCTCCTCCCTCCCTCTGCTTATTTTCCTCTCCAACTTTCCCAAAGTCAAGATGTCATCCAGCTCTCTGTCTCTTTGTATTTTTCCCTCCCTCCCTCCCCTCTCTCTCTCTCTCTCTCTCTCTCTCTCTCTCTCTCTCTCTCTCTCTCTCTCTCTCTCTCTCTCTCTGACTCCTGTCTCTGTGTCTACCTATCACTCTATGACTTCCTGTCTTTCTATGTATCTCTGCATGCTCCTAATCTCTGTCTATCTATCTCTCTGTATTTGTCTTTATCGCTCTCTGTCTCTCTCTGTGTCTCCCTATTTCTCTCTAACTCTCTGTCTCCATACCTCTATCTGACTCCCTATTTATATATGTCTCTCTCTTTTTTTTTTTTTTTTTGCAGATATAGACAATTTATTTCATGCGAACAAAAGAAGAAGAAGATATGTCTCTTTTTGTCTGTGTAGGCTCCCTATCTCTCTGTGACTCCCCATCTCTCTCTCTATATATATATACATATATATACATACACAGACATGTGTCAGGCACTATATAGATATGTGTGTGTGCATGTGTTTGTGTGTGTGTGCATGTGTTTGTGTGTGTGTGCATGTGTGCGTGAATCTGTGTGCTCTCATACAAGTTAACTGGTTGAAACGATTGATACCATACTGTTTACAGATGCTTTTTTGTGTGTGACAATGAGCAGAGACATTTTCACAAGTACATCGTTTGGATCTTTTTTCGGACGTTGGACGGCCCACGCCCTGATGACCCTGAAGAACCACCTTTTGCCAGAGAGCTGATATCAGAGTCTTTGAAGTCTCTGGCAATATGGTTGCGGTGACCATTTCCACTACTCCCTGAATTTGATGAATCCGGACTCTCTTTTTTCGATACAACGAGGCGATCCTTTTTACTGGTTTGAGGACCTGAAGTTTTCGTGTAATAAAATGTTTTAGATCGCTGTACTGCCTCCTGTGGGATCTGTGTTGGCTTAGGCGATATGCCCAAGGTGGACTGAGAAGATACCAAACCCAGATTATATACTGTGGTAATATCCCCATCATTTCTCATTTGCTGCTTGCCTAGCATTTCCGGGGCAACTTTGTTAGTTGGTGTTTTGTCTTCATCTTCAATGTCAACACTTGGTGATGTGATGGTCGCTGAGAAAGATTGAGGAGGGTTTGATGGAAGGTCTAGAGGTCGAGGTGGTAATGGAGGCACCTGGCTGGTGATGCTGTCCTGCTGAACTCTCAAAACTTTTGGAGAGCCGTTCATTGTTCCGTTTCTAAGATCATGTTCTGAGTCTAAGATCAGATGTCTTGGATCTTTAGGCTGGTATTTAGAATGATAGTTGACTCTCTCGCCTGCTTCCAGTGCTCGCAGCCTTGCTCGGAAATCATCCAAAGGCTCGTAAGCAGGTTCCTCCCAGTAGCTCTCTTCGTCAGAATCATAAGTGAACTTTGATTTCGTAGGAGGCGCTCCGCCATCCCGAACGTAAGCATAAAGATCATCAATTTCGTCCATTAGTCGCATCTCTCTGGATTTAGCTCTTGCACTGCTGGGTCCTAATGTTTCTGACTGAAAAGGTATGGAAAACATGTTGCTTGATCGATTCTTACCTCTTGACGCTACAACATCTGGTATCTGGACTATGAGATGTAACGTGTTGTTGTAGTTCGATATCATTCTGTTACATCTCATCATCATAGACCGATATAATTCAGTGGATTTAATTTCTTGTTCATTCAATGCGGAGACTACCTGTAAATTCACATCCACTGGAACAGGAAGAAGTCTCACATGGTTCTTTTCTACGGGACACACAAACGCGGTCTCGTCTGTGTAGACCCAGTCAAGACGAATCAGACCAGTAAATCTCGAAGGGTCAACCTTCGGCCTGACCCCTTGTACTAGTTTGACAGTTAGTGGAAGTCTGAACCGTTTAACCACATCCCGAATGTTGAAAACACCGGCGAAATCGTTTTCTCCTGCTATGGGCGTGAACATTCCAGATTGATCAAACCCCAGAAATATTATCTCCCCCTTAGAATCTAAACACCGAAGCATTTTCACTTTCTTGTTTTCTCCTGGCGAAGGCAAAGTCAGTTCGCCGTTGAGAATGATTTGTTCGCCTGCTAGCAAAACTCGAAATTTATCAAAAGTTAGTCTTCCGTCATCGCCCATGAGGTATGCTTTCATGTTCTCACGGACAAGACATCTTTCTGGGTTGAATTTCGCTAGCTCCATCACACTAGTGATCGGCCTTGCTGATTTCCCATCTTCAGAAAGAAGCTCAAACCAGCCTTGGTAAGAAATGGGTATAGCTAAACGTTGATCCAAAGCATAGAGTCTTGTTGTTGCATACACGTTGTGCCCGCCTCTTCGTAAAATACCCGTTGCCTCCATTCGCCGAAGACAGTGAGCCAAAACCTTAACACCCACCTTAACCGAATGAATAAACACCTCATGATGTTGTTTCTGAAAGGAAAATTTGTTACTCCCTAAAGTCATATATGTTCCCTTGACCACTTTGGCAAAACCTGGAACTTGCCGTTTGGATGCAAAGTCTTTCAGAAGAACAGGCTCTGAGCTCCATTCGGGAACCGCCGTAGATAGCACGGGCGATGACTGGACGCCAAGAGGTTGATTCTCAGGCGATGCCATGGTTTCTTCAGCTATCGTGACAACATCGATTTATTGTCTGAAAACAACCCAACTGCTACCTCCGGATACAGACGTAATATGTCGGTATTAAGGAAAGTTATATAAGTTGTAAGCTAGGTCCAAGATATCCGATTATTTTTTTCAGTCATGCAGGAGCAATGATATCCCATGTAAACTGTCTTCCATGAATGTTTCACTAGAAATCTTTTCAGTTACAACAGTAATTTAATTGTTATGACGTAAGTACCATCGTTACTATCACAAATGTAACACTTATTGTCCGTAACATTTGCACATGTTCCATTTGACATTAAAACCCTTGAAAACAGTTTACTCACAGATGTAGTACAATAATTAACAGATGTGGTATGAATATTCTTGATGAATATCCCACATATGCGCGAAGTTCCCATTAAATCCTCACCCGAGTTCGTTTCAGAAATAGCATGCATAAGATAAGTGTTCACCTGTTATGAACTCATTCACAACTTTCGTTGGCATCTACTGCTAAACAAATATCTTGTAGAGAAAAAGACACAATATACCAGGCAGCGTACGCCCATGCATGCTAGCAGTCGTTGTGTTACATGTGTCACTTGCTAAAAAAAATAGCGATCAGTTTTGAACTTAGCGTTTTCAAACATCACACGCAACTATAGTTAGTTATTGGATATTCATTGCTGACAACTTCAGTCGCTGAATATTTATCGACGAAAAAACAGAACAGAAGCGATGTATACCAGACACCAGTGGTAAACCACGGGGTTAAAGGTACAGCTGTCTCTACAGTTTACAGCCTGCAACACGCCCAACTTTCTTCTAATCCACTGTACACAGATGTTTGTTGGTAGAGACCAGTGTCTGGCTGTGTTCACTCCAAACACCACAGCACGCCAACGGTAAACCAACCCCCAAGTCTTCTGTCTGAGAACAAGGCGCAGAACCCGTCCGACTGGTTTTGAAGCCTTAAATAACCAAGTCATGAATACCGGGCAAGAAAGCAGCTAATTCCTACAACCATGCCCAAGCATTGGAATTTATGATTAGACATTTTATTTCTTTTTATTTTGTTGTATGAATATCTTTCTATTCTAATCCCCGATAAATAAATAAATGATTTGATTCCTCACTGACAGTGAAAGGCTGCACAAACTGGTGTGGCTCTTCTTTGTGTGTCTTGCCCACATGCACGCCCACAAACACCACTTACATTTGACAGCAGCTTAATTTGTAGCCGTATATAGTGTATTGAGTAACCATATCGTGCCCAGAATACAACTGTTTTATACTGGGTTTCTGGTATTTGCTCCTGTTGGATTCGCACCCGAATAGTAACTCTTCAGGTTACTAAGTGTCAGTCAAATAGGTTGTAATCCCGGGTGAGATTGCGGGCAACAAAAATGTTGCGGATTTTAGGGCTCATCACATTGTGTTTAGGCTTGTAGTAAAAGTAGTTGTTGTTGTTGTCGTAGTAGTAGTAGTAGTAGTAGTAGTAGTAGTAGTAGTAGTAGTAGTAGTAGTAGTAGTAGTAGTAGTAGTAGTAGTAGTAGTAATAGTAATAGTAGTAGTAGTAGTAGTAGTAGTAGTAGTAGTAGTAGTAGTAGTAGTAGTAGTAGTAGTAATAGTAGTAGTAGGAGTAGTAATAGTAGTAGTAGTAGTAGTAGTACTAGTAGTAGTAGTAGTAGTAGTAAGAGTAGTAGTAGTAGTAAAAGTAGTAGTAGTAGTAAAAGAAGTAGTAGTAGTAGTAGTAGTAGTAGTAGTAGTAGTAGTAGTAGTAGTAGTAGTAGTAGTAGTAGTAGTAGTAGTAGTAAGAGTAGTAGAGTAGTAGTAAAAGTAGTTTTTTTTTTTTTTTGGCGTAAAACTAGTAAGGCCGATTTGTTACCTTCGCTATGACTCACTTTTGCTGTAAAGCGTCGTGGTGTAGAAGAACTGGTAGCCCGGTGCTCAGTGGGCGTCAGTGGCTATTGTTAGTTTGCGCCAATGACAATTTCTTTAATGTCATAAATCCATCTAAAGCCAATCTGTGCAGATTGATAAGGATGATTCACATGGGACACAAGAAATGGTTCTTCTTGTCAGAAATTATTCATATCCAGATTTCAATTTCAATCAAGAAACACTGCCGGGGATAAACACATTTTTCTTTACAGCACAAATTCGCCACATCCGAGATCGCCTTAAGTGGACTGCACTGTTTACTCAAAATCACCACTTGCAAGAAGATATGCCCGTGAAAAGCCGCAAACCTAACCATTCGAAATCAATGATACTGTCAGACTGATTGTTGGAATCACAACTTACTATATTCATTAAAAAACAGGAGATCGAGTGGTTTGGCCATCTAGTTAGAATGCAGCAGGATCAAATAGCGTCACATGTGCTAGATCTCAGACAATTAGCTAGAAGGACAAGAGGGCGGCAACGAAAATTTGGAGCGACAACATTAGAGACAATTGTCACTTTCAAAGCATGTCAATGGTCAGTGTAACCCTCCGTGCACTGGATCCCAAATTACTCTTCCCCGCGATATAAAGGCGGCTGGCGTAAAGATGACCATATCACTCAACGAGTGCCGATTGATTTGTAAAATATAGGTCTAACCCTATATGTCCAATGTGCCTGAAGGCGTAGAAACGAGTCCTTTACTTTATCAATGCCTGTTGCACACTGGCATGGAAAAAAGGCGGGTGGGAGTGGGGGAGGGGTGAGCGGTGTGTCTTCTTCTTTTACGTTACATCTGATCTCGCATTCTTCTTCTTAACGTGTAGCTAGCCTGTTGTTCCCGTGTTTTAGGCTCACGTTAATTACCTTAAACTTTAAAATACTGTCAATTGTAATCAGGTTTGTTGAGCAAGTATGTTTTCTTACCATCTTCATGATATACGTTATACCACCTTCGTTTCGTGAGTAGTACCGCTCTGGCCATATGAATAAGATGAGACAAGAGCACTGACCTGCTTCGTGATGCTGGTGATCGTGTGAAATGGCTAGCAATGACCACAGTAGCTGGTCGGTTAATTTGTCTCATAGAGACGTTTATAATGGAATGTCGCAATTGTCGACAAGATAGAAGCGCATTGACATTTCATTGAATCGTTTAATGATCCACACACACACAAATTAATTGTTTTATAGCTGCGTCCGACAACAGTCCTTCTTTAACCCTAAACGTTTAACTCGTTCTTATTCTTCTTCTGCGTTCATCCGAAGATGTAATTGCATTGTGTCCGTTTACAGCATGGCTGCGATATTTGCACCTTTCGGCCAACACATCCGACTTCTGCGGGCATTTGTTGACCGGGTTAGCCTTTTCGGTGTTTAACTCTTTCGATACCTAGCAACTTACTATACATTGATTAAATATTCTATGCAATGTGAGTTTTTCTTTAATTCTTAGAAATCATTATCTTATGTGTTAATACATCTTTCCTATCTGTTACTTTAACAAGCTGTATAGTAAGTTGTATCTTCTTCTTCTGTTGCGTTTGCTCTTAAAACGGCGTTCGGAGTCTTGTTAGTTCGGTAGTTGGGTAATTGACTGATCATCCTCATTGGACAAGTCATGTTAACCCTTTTGAGACGACTCGGCCGATCTATCGGTCCAACAGCAAAGTAGCCAAAAAGAACACTGAGCAGATCGGCCAGCGCTACATAATACAAGCGTTGAGACTGGCTAGCATGTTTTCGTACCAGCCAATTAGATTGCTTCTCGCATTTCTTGCACATGTACGCTGTTCTGTTATGGCTTTTAAGAATTTTGATGCGTTCTGTAATTTTACATAATTTTTTTTTTAACCTGTGGCCAACAATGGCGAAAAGGACTGTTGTGTCATAGCAACTGAAAAATTTCAGGACGCAGAACCTGGGGTAAAATCATGTGCCAGAAGGGTGTGAAATGTCTCCATTGGCCCTACTTCCTCAAAAAACATAAGTGTTAGGACTTATTCAGGCTTTATCTATTTTTAAAAAAAAAACACACACACATTTTTCAGGATAGTCATGTTTGTTCCCAAGTTTAAGGACAACATTTCTTGCATAAATTATGCACATCAGAATAGTTCGTTTCAATAAATGTTCAGATTTTAGTTAGATTCATAAATATTCTTTTAGCTCATTTAATTTCTCACACGAATATATATATATATATATATATATATATATATATATATATATATATATATAGTTGTGTATTTGCTAACTAAACGCGTTATGTTTTCTAAATGGTGTGTGTGTGTGTAAACTAAAAGAATCCCCTCCTGAACAATTCGTTTTCTTAACAATGAAACTCCAAAACCACATTAACAGGTTAAACTCAGCATGTAGTAAATACAACTTGAAGATCAATGTAAACAAAACCAAAACAATGCAAGTTAGTAGACATTCTGCCCCACTGCACATACAGCTGAATGGTTCTGCCCTGAATCAAGTTAGGGAGTTTAAATATCTAGGAAGTATGATCACAGACGATGGTAGAATTGACAGAGAAATAGAAACCAGATGTCAGAAAGCAAGTGCACTTATTTACCAATTGTCACCATTATAAAGACATCCAAGCATAACTATGAGTGCAAAGAGACAGATTATTAATAGCATATTTATTCCAACATTAAGCTACCAGTGCCAAACATGGACACTATCTAAATCTCATATACGCAAAATTACCACCTGGGAGATGAGGTGCCTGAGAAAAGCAGCCAACCTAACCATCCGAGATCGAGTGAATAATGAAACTATCAGGCAAATTGTGGGAACAACACCTTGTACTAGATTCATCGAGAAACAGCAGATCAAGTGGTTTGGCCATCTCGTTAGAGTGCAGCAAGATCAAATACCATCACAAGCATTACATCTCAGAAGATCAACTACAAGAGCAAGAGGACGGCCGCGGAATACATAGATCGACAACATTAAAGGCACTCTACGCCTTCACGGCATGATAATAGCCAGTGGCAGCCAACGTGCACTTGATCGCAAATTAGTCCTTCCCACGACGCTTAACG